GGTCTCTTATCCAGAGGAATTAAACAAATAAGATATATAGAACACTTCACGAAGGAATTCTAAGTACATACTGATTGTTCTGTGAGATTTCCTGTTGTGAATTGTAGTGTCGGACTGATACATTTCCGAAGGACATTATAGGGAGGAACCGATAGAACACTCCCGAAAGAAATCGAAAGAGTCACAGAAAAATTGAAGTCACACTGACAGAACAGTTCAGTTCTAGAGGGAATCTAGGAGCCGGACCGTTACGACACTTCCGGAGGAAATCATAGGGTTTAACTGTCATTAAACTTGTCAACTTGTCATATCTCTATAAGCGAAATAAGGTTTTGAAATAACCAGATGAGAGAAACGTAGTACTTGTAATTAAGATGCGCGTGTTGGAATGCTACAGGTTATAATCTATTGTTGTCTTGCGTGATGTTGATCGGGACACACAGGTATACCATATCACATAGAACAGAAATCACAATTTATGTGAATGAGAGTGGGTGCGTCTTCACGTGTGCTGCAATTACATTTTTGTTCAATATTCGTACTGTTTATTTAAATAAAATATATCGATATTTTATGTTTTTATTCACTATTTATTTATCACTGTTTCACAACGGGTAATTCTTTCATGGACGATGTTTCCGTTCATTGTTCCGTTCATAGAAACACGGTGAAGTCGAACTATCGGATAAGTCGAACATTACATTTAGTCCCGTCGAGTTCGACTTATCTGTGTTTTACTGTACTTACAAAATATTATACAAGTGTGCACCAATCATGCCACGTGTCTATACGCCTCACTTAGAGTATACCCAGGCCCTTAATTTGCTCTGTTCTTCTATCCCGAAATTTCCCCCTATGAAAACTACTATAGATTGATGGCTGTTTGTTTATCTGGTGGGTTTATCGCCACGTGAACAGTCAATTTTGAGGGTCGGTCTCCTTACAGAACAACATAGGAGAGGTCCGACGCATGTTATCCATGGCGATAAGGATAAAGTGACCATTGACACAACCACTATAGCACAGACCAGTCCGTTTATCAGTTTCCTGAGAAAAAGCAAGCAGCCACGGGCAGGAAGCATCGCACCACCCATGTGGATATTCTGGGCAACGCTCTATCTCAGAGTAACGTGGCCTTGTAAACAAACAGAAATGACGGTAAATATCAAGTTATTGATTTTTACTAATTTACGGTATCGACATTTTATCTTTCTTGGTAAAAGGGATTCGATTTATGTCAGGAATACTTCTAAAATTTGGGATTTAAGGATGAAGGAAAGACCATCTTTCACGGAATTTTGACTCCCAGTATCTAATTTTGGTATCATTACAAATTCTCTGGCATGGTATGTGACATATACGTTCATGACTCCTACTGTCCTTGTACAGTATCAGTGTCAGAATGAAAGTCAAACCCTACGAGCAGAAGTACATTCTGAAAAGCAATGATTCGGAAAACGGGTATTTAAGGAAAAACCCACAGTTCATGGAATTTTGACTCGCACTGTCTTTGTCGTTTTTGTGTGTCATAATATATCAAACACTAGGTGCAATAGTACTTCTTTTAAAACCCATAGCTGTATACACACGGACGAGCGAACAGGACATACCGGGAGCATATGTAAACAGGTACAAAATAACACATGTGCCTTAGCACATTAATTCTTCTAAATCAGGCGCGGCTTACGCGTACCTTATGAAAATTAGAATCAGGGTTACACATGTATGACAAATAAAAATTTTGGGATGGGAGTGTTGCTTAGTCAAAATATATACCGAAGGAATATCTACTGTATTTAGAAAAAGATAGGTTAAATACGTTTATGTACTTACCGAAATCATTGAATTTACATCCTTATAGTACTTGATCCTTTTTTCACCTGTGCAGATGTCATAACTGTACCATATACACAGACATACACACACACACACAAACATGTGTGAGTTATGCAGAAGTACGAGACAGGTCTGTGCCCTGTTCGGTTACGAACTACATTCTCTTCAGGGAAACTATCAAACTAATTTTAGATACGTCAGTCAAACGTGTATAGTGACGACTACAACAAGTATCGCGGACAGTAGAGCTCGGCAGGCCGGCAAACGAGTATCACTGCATTATTTAGTAGTGGATTAGTAAGCACAGACAAGAGAGAGTGAAAAAGATCACTTCAGATAACCACGTAACGTGATATCAGATGAAAAAAAAAAGAAAAAAAATCTACACGAATATTTCTTTTTTTTTCCACATTTTTAGCTAAGGCAAATGTGAAACGAAATGAAATGAGATAAAAAATGAAGGAAATATAGATATCAAAACATATTTTTAGAGACTGGATACTCCGTTAGGCGACATATGATTTAATGGGCTATGGGCTATTACGGCCTTGCGGTTTTCCAGCAGCTGATGGCTCTACTCACTGAACAACATGGGGGCGGGGTAAAGCGTCTTACAAAGTTCACAACCAAGTCAGTGCAGATCGAATTGTTTCTCAGCTTCGTGAGACACACTATCCGCCACTGGTAGGGAGAGTCGAACCGCGCACCTCGGGTGTTAAGCTGTGCAGCTAGGCGACATACAATCACTACACCGACCCCAATCCCATGACGGTATTATGTTATTTCAAATGCAAAGTTTTAGCAATCGTTTTTACTTAATTATGATAAAATCAGCACATCAGTCTTAACTCTTAATTAGATATACGCAGTCGTAATAACGAGAAAATGAGTCATAATCAGGAAATGACTATGCTGTAATAAAAACGACAGCGTTGTTATTGTTTCCGTTAATCTCTGTTGTATTACAGAATAAAATAATTTGCCGGAAATGATTAAATATGCGGCAATCTCCAGCTGAAGAGAGGCAACTCCGGTGAATTCCATGAACGACAGCGTTTTGTCTACTGCGGTAAACCAACAGGAAATCTAGTAAATAGCAGTCAGGACGCTGTCGCTAAAGAATTACAAAGAACTTTAATATGAATTTACAATAAAAATGTCAGTAAGTATGTAGATATTTCACAGATGACAGCAGTGCTCTAATCATCCTTACAGGAGGAGTAGGATTTCAAAGAATTTGCTCCATTTCTCGTTTTCCCCCGGATACTTTTCTGATGGCCATCGCACATGTATCCCCCAATAGTTCAACAGACATATGTTTTTTACTGTATTTACTTACGCGCGCACACACACACACACACACACACACACACACACACACACACACACACACACAAACCCACACGTACACACACACACAAACACATAGACACACACACACACACAAACACACACACACACACATATATAGTATACATTACATAAGTGTGTTCCCTTATTGGGGAAACGAAGTATGCTTTCTTTGTGTGTTTTTAAGATAACCTGTATTACAGTATAAAATGACTCTTTCAGTAGGTGTTAACATTTCCCATGAATTATGTATAATCCTTAAAAATCCACGTCCTTGATTTAGATCCTTGTTACTGACTGGTGACATATTATTAGATGAAATATAAACAACTTCATTTTATCAATTTACAACGTTCCAATGATAATGAGAAAAAAAGTTTAATAGAAAATGAAAAAGTAACAAGTCACGTGAAATCTGCAATTATTTATGTTCCAATCACTCGCAAATTAAAAGCTAACCTTTCTAGTCCTTGTTAATTACTTTTTTTATAACATGTAGTATATGATTTTTTGATTAAACATATTTTATTGTAAATTATTTACAAAAGGATCGGGCACAAGTTATTTCATCCAGCGCATACCGGAAATATCGGGTAAATCCAATTTAAAATTCTAAATAACTCATTTAAATATGTTGTACAATTTAGACATAGTAATGTTTTAATGGTCCATTTTGAGACAAAGACACTCTCATCGTCCTCCCTTAGGTGTATTTCTCATACTAGTTTCCTGAATTCATGGATCTGTTTTACATACGTTCAATATACGTCGCCTTTCTCATGATACACAAGGATTTACATATAAAAATAGTAAAAGCAATTAGTTGAACTGGTATGGAAACCGGATGTGATTATCACAATTTACAAAATGTAATTCTCGACATTACTTTGCTGTCTGATTTCATTATGATTCTTAAAATAGTGTACTTTGAAATTCAAGCTCAGTGTGATCGTATATCAAGAAAATGAAAAACGCTTGAAGCATGTAGAAATGTTGGCTTCGATTTTATTCCAGAAAAAGCAATACTTCAAGTATGTCGCTAACACGCAGAAGTCAAACGAAGTACAACATGTTGATCGATGTATGTATCTAGATCAGACTACGGATGTGAGCATGTATGTAGTGAAAAACTGAAAGAACAAAATGAACACTCATAAGTCACTTACCAAAATTTGGGCACACAACACGAGTAATTGGGAAAAATCTACTACGGCTCATATTTAGCAAAAACATAGAAAGAACACGAAATCGAGATGGGAGCAAATAGTGGGTCGATTCAGGATGAAAACATTATGGGGCGAAATGGGACAGTGGAAAAATTGGCAAATTGGTAATAAGTTCCAACTTGTGTAGCGTATCAAAGGCAGTGACTATTTTACAACAATTGGAAGAACATAATTCTTCAACTTGTATGGGACAATAAACTCACTCTTTGGGGGACTAGAGACGGTAAAATTCCTAGAATTGTACTGTGTGAATCGCTCAGCGATGTAAACACGTCCGACATCTTGAAACGTTCAGCATACGATACAGATAATGGAAATCCCCGCTACCAAATATAGACAGGAGTTCCGAGAAGGGGGATAACCCTGCTACACTAACATGACACTCCCCGTCTGATTTCTAATCACTCAAGTTCATGAAAAGTTTCACAAGATCTATAACTTAGATCGAAATACGAATCGAGTCAACAGCAACTAAACACTGAAAACACATAAATCAATATAGCTGAGTTCATAAGTTGACATTGCACAGTCTCTGCATCTAAATGTCACAACAGTTCGCATCACACTTGGCACTAATACACGAAAAAGTTATTCACAGGAATCAAGCAGCGGAATCACTTCCGAAATGGGTCGAATGAAAACACTAGGTTTTCCGTCTTTCACAACCCGGATCTCTAGTTTACGCACTAGTCCGTCATCACTCGGAAAGATCTTGGTAACAAGACCAGTCGGCCACGAAAGACGGGGACATTCCTTGTCCCGGAGAAACACAACATCACCTACTTTATGATTAACAGTCTCTAAGTTCCACTTAGAACGAGCTTGTCGAGCAAACAGAAATTCCGATTTCCAGCGTTTCCAAAAGGTGTTCGCCATGACCTGGACCATTCGCCACTGCGAGCGGTACATATCCTTGATACTTAAGTCCTGCGGGACGATTATGTCGTCACTGGTCTTCTGAGTTAGTAACTTTCCTGGCGACAGCAAATGAGGCATCTCGCAATCCGAAGAAACAGCAACCAAAGGTCTAGAATTCATTATAGCAGCAACCTCGGCCATGAAAGTCGCTAGCACTTCATCTGTCAGCTGTCCATGTTTGACGTCAAGAAGCATCGCGTCGAGAATGCGTCGGGCTATTCCTATCATTCTCTCCCATACTCCGCCGAAATGAGATGCATGGGGAGGATTAAATCTCCAGATCATGTTGTTGGTGTCCAGGTAAGTTTTCACTTGAGGATCTCCCACGTTGATAGAGTGAATTCCAAGTTCATTGACCGCTCCTACAAAATTACTACCGCAATCTGAGCGGAACTCCGAAACTTCACCTCGGACGGCAATGAACCTCCGCATGGCGTTGATAAATGATGATGACGTCATCTCTGGGATGATCTCAATGTGGACTGCTCGGCTGTACAAACAGGTAAAGAGGACTGCCCATCGTTTCGAACTTGCGTTTCCGCCTCTTGTACGTCGAGTGATGATGTTCCAAGGACCGAATACATCAACACCAACCAGTGTGAATGGCGGTGAAGGAGTCAGGCGATCTACAGGCAGATCCGACATTTTCTGAGAGGAAAACTTCCCTCGTAGTCTGCGACATGTCACACAGTGATGTATCGTGGAAGCAATCAGACGTTTTGCTCCGGTTACCCAAAGTCCAGCATTACGAATTGCACCTTCGGTCATGTGGCGTCCTTGATGTTGTACCTGCAAGTGGTGATGTTGCACAAGGAGCTTGGCAATATGACTGCGACCTGGTATCAAGATGGGATTTTTCTCGGTCTCATGAAAGTCACCTCGGTTAATGCGTCCACCAACCCGCAGCAGTCCCTTCTCATCAAGGTGAGGATTCAAGCAAAGCACAGAGCTATCCTTAGGCAAAGACTTGGAAGAACGAAGCGCTTGAATTTCTTTACTGAAGTAGGTCATCTGGAGCTCTTTGATGACGAAAAGCTCAACCTCGCGTCTGGTAAGATCATTCTGGATATTGAAACGACTCCTTAACCGAACTCGTATAGTACGGATAGCACGCACAAGGCTGTTCCAACTGGAGAAACGATTGAATCTAGATGTTCCAAGTGTAGTACGTATGTTAGTCTTCCACGAGTGAACATCAGGTCGTACTTCTTTGTCCGATTCTGGCTCCACCAAAGAATATTCGACATCAAGATCAGGGCTGATGTGATTGCGAAGGAAGGATGGTCCATTAAACCATAGACTGTCAGCAAACTGCTCTGGGGAGAAACCACGTGTCCCCTCATCGGCTGGATTCTCCTCTGTAGGGACATACTGCCACTGTGTAGGTGAGGAAATTTTCCTTATTCTAGCGACTCTGTTGGAAACGTAAACATAGAATCTCCTACGTTCATTTGAAAGATATCCAAGCACTATTCGGCTGTCGGTATAATAACGCAGGTGATCGAGGGGAATGTCCAACTGTTCCGAAAGCATCTCGCCGATTTCGGTAGCCAAAACTGCAGCACATAACTCGAGGCGTGGTATTGTGTGGCCGTGCTTCGGCGCAACCTTCGACTTCCCGAAGACAAATCCAGTGAAGACCTCTCCATCCTCGTTGACACCTCTGAGGAATGCACATGCAGCTACTGCTAACTCAGATGCGTCAGAGAAGATATGCAAAGTTCTTGTAACACACTTCGAGAAAGACACAGTCAGGAAACATCTAGGGATATGTATATCACAAAGCTTGCTCAGCTGTTCAGTCCAAGACCTCCAAGCCTTTTCAGTGTGAGGCAATAAGGGATCGTCCCAGCCATTTGCTTCATTCACAGCATCACGCATAATAATCTTGCCCTTGATGATAATCGGCGCCAAGAAGCCCAATGGATCGAAAATCCCATTCACCGTTGAAAGAAGACCTCGCTTTGTGAACGGTTTCTGGTTTTCAGATGTGTGGTAAGTAAAGGTATCTGTGGATAGTTCCCATGCCATACCCAGGCTATGATGGAGTGGCAGTTCATCATGTGTCAAGTCTAGTGGCTCTAATGTCTTAGCCAAATCAGCAGCAGGAAACTGTGACATCACCTCTTCACTACTGGATGCAATTTTGTGGAGTTTCAGGTTCCCGCCTTCCAACAGTGCTCTCTGAGCTCTCTTAAGAACGTCGACCGCCTCGGTTACTGTGGGAAAGGACATTAAACCGTCATCAACGTAAAAATTGCGAGACACGAACTCCTGCAAGTCCACGTCACAAGGATTGCCACAATCTTCAACACATCTCCGTAGACCATAGGTGGCAACAGCCGGCGAAGGACTGTTGCCAAAAACATGTACACACATTCTGTACTCTATCAGAGGTTGATCAACGTCGTTGTCGGCGTGCCAGAAAAATCTGAGGCAATCCCGGTGGCATTCGTCAACATAAAATCCGAAGAACATCTGTTGTATATCTGCTACTACAGCAACTGTCTCTTTCCTGAACCTGAGCAGAACACCATCAAGTCGATTCATCAAGTCAGGGCCTTGCATCAAGACATTGTTGAGGGATATACCTTCATACTTGCAAGAAGAATCAAATACAACACGTATCTGGTCAACTTTCTTCGGGTGGTAGACTCCGAACAGAGGGAGATACCATACTTCAGAGTCATCTGCTACTGGTGGTACGACCTCTGCATGACCGGAAGTCAGGATTCGTTCCATGAACTTGACGAAATGCTCGCGTTTTACAGGGTTTTTCCGAAGACTGGATTGTAACATGAGTGCTCGTTTCAATGCCACTTGTCTGTTGTTGGGAAGTACAGGCCTAGGTTCCCTGAAAGGAAGAGGAGCTGTCCAATTGCCTGAAGAAGTTTTCTTGAACTCTTTATCCATGAGATGTATGAATTGTTCGTCCTCGATAGATGGTCCAATGTTATTATCATTACAATCCCGAACGAAAAGATTGCTGTCATCCATTTTCAAGGAGAGGTCGCATTCTGTGAAGGTACTCACTCGGCCATCTTTGGTGACGGAAGTCTTCAAAACACTCAGCCTATCTGGAGGATGAACGTTACCCAGGCACACATTACCAACAAGGACCCATCCAAGTGCAAGCTTCTGAGCAAACGGTGTACCTTTAGGACCTGTACGTTGATCTTCTGTGTGATGCGCCTCTGGCAGGTCTCGACCAATCAGCAGAAGGATGGGGGCATCCGGATCGTAAGGAGGAATCGGAACATCTCTAAGATGATTGTGGTATCGAGTAATTTCTGGCGTAGGAATCTCGCTTCTCTCATCTGGGATCGCGCTACATTCTGTGATAATTGGCAGATCCAGTTTAGAAGTACCATCAGCTGACTCAATGACAAATCCCTTCGCTTGCCTACCACTCATAGTTGTCTGTCCTGCGCAAGAGGTGAGAGTATAAGTTGTCATTGTCGACATGGGTATGTTCATCCTATCGAAGAACTCCGCTCTCGCTAAAGTTGAGGTACTCTGATCGTCGAGCAGAGCATACAATCGGATACGAATATGAGGCTTCCCCACTGGATATACGTTTACCAGACACGCTTTCGCACATGAACGCCCATTGAAGTTTTGACCACATACAGATGTACATTTGGTTACCAAGGATTCCTCCCCGCCATGGTTTTGTCCAGGGGCCGAAGATTTCCTATCTTGAATAGTTGCCTTATGTTGGGAAGAATTGGCATCTATGTGCATTGCAGTGGCGTGATAAGTGTTCCCACAAGTGTCGCACTTAACTATGGCTTCGCAAGTTCTGTAATTGTGGTCCGTCGACAAACAACACTTGAAGCAAAATCCGTAATCCTTCAACAGTTTTCTCCTCTCGTTAAGGGTTAACTTCTGGAAGGATTTGCACTGGTTGAGGTTGTGTCTTGCATCGTGCAGCATACAACGGTTATTATAGTCATGGTTAGACTCAACATTCGCGTCAATGGCAGTCTTCTTGACTCGTACATTGTCTTTGCGGTATGGCGGCTCTCGTTTTTGTACATCCGTGGAGTTAACGTTGTTGCGGTTAGGAGCGCTAGAGGTACGTTGACTGGTTTGTTGATAAGTAAACCCGGGGTCGTTCCGTACGCGACTCATCTCATTGATAAATTCTACCAAGAACGCGAACGGCGGATAAGTCACTTGATTAGACGCGTTGTAGCTCGAGGCACGAGAAGTCCACTTCTCCTGTAGATTGAAGGGGAGCTTAGATATGATAGGTCGCATACCTGTAGATGAATCGAAAAAGCTCAGTGAACGACTGTACACGGGATCCTTCATCCTGGACAGTATTTCGGAAAGTAGATCAGCCAAATCATACAATCGAGCATTGTCTTTGGGTGTCAGTTGGGGGAATGCATCTATGCGGGCCTTCAAGGATGTCTCTAGAAGCACAGGACTTCCATATCGCTCATCTAAACGTTTCCAAACCATCTCAACGGCACGTGTAGGACAATTGGCATTCGCAGACCTTATACTAATCGCATGCTGTTTAGATTTGGGTCCCAGATATTTCAACAGCAAATCTAGTTCCTCCCTAGGATTTGTTCTCAGTTCTGCCTTGAGGATGTCGAAACTGATCTTCCAGGATTGATACGTCTCGGGCTTATCGTCGAATTCTATCAGCCGCAGAGGTAGCATTTCACGCTTCATCAGATAATTGGAAAATGCATTCATTTCGTTGGCAATTGGATCTCTCCCATGAACATTAAGTGCACTGGATACATCGGGGGGTATGTTAGTGACCTGAGGAGGTACTTGAGTGCTACAACTGGGTAATGGAGCAGCAGGCATGCTGGTACGTAATAAACTCGATATCAAGCTGGTAGGATTAGTTACCATAACAGAACACGGGGCAGTAGTAACCACAGTCTGAGGGATAGGTGCAGGATTTATCGTGTTACTAGAATATTGAACACCAGGTTCGAACTCAACAGTTTGATGTACATGTTCCTCACCCATAGGGGCTTTGTTCTGGTCAAATGCAGTAGGAATAGGGGATGAGATGGAATGACTAGGTTGCTGTATCGCTGTCAGTACATTCATTGTCGACACGATAGGTTTACCAATATCCGCGGGTTGTGGACGAGCAGTGTGGATCGAATGGTCAGGTTGGGTATTGACCTGTATATTACCTGTAGTGTCTGGATTCATGGAATCAAAATACCGATTCATACTGTCGCTTCTGTTGACGTTATCCGAGCTACTTTTTCGGTCATCATACAACTCTTCCTTCATACCGGCATACTCTGCACTCGCGACTGCAGCCTCCTTTTCTACTTCCAGTAGTTCCATCTTGATGGAGAGTAGAGCAGCTTCTTGCTTCATAGCAGCTTCTTTCTGCGCGAAACGTAATCTAGCTTTAGCCCCATCCAGTTTGGCTCGTTGGCGACCTAATACCGTCGATGCTGAAGATCTTTTAGAACTTGACTTAGATGACCTTCTAGAACTTACAAGGGATGGTGTTAGTTTCTCAGATGAATGTTGGTCACAAAGTTCAGCTGTCGTGTATTCAAGCTGTTTTTTGAATTTCGAAACTTTATTCACGTAGACCTCTTTCAGAGATGCAAGGCTTGCCTGTTCGTTGGCACTTTCAGGGGTATTGTACTTGACCAGGAAGTTCAACAATTCAACACAAAGTTTATCGTAGCGATTATATGTTTCGGTTAAGCGTGAGTGTAAATCAGCAATGGCATCATGGGATGTTGGGACCACACATTCAATAATACTGTCAATTTCCCTAGCAATTTTGGTCAGTTTATTCAAATTATGATCCAAGCTTTCCCTGAAAAATGACTGGCCTCTTTCTGTCAGAGTATGTTGCCGTTTGGATGTTGAATCTATTTGTTCAGGATCGTCCTGGTTAATTTCGTCCCGTTGGTCCGAAAAAGACATGATGAAACTCTATAGTTTGAAACAATTCGTTTCTCTGGGTCGAGCTGACCTTATAAATGTTCTACATTGCGTCCTCTGGACCGAGATGGTATTTCACTTTGTGTCTCTTGACTGAGTAGATTTATCATTTTGCGTCTCTAGACCGACTAGATTTTTCACTATCAAGCCTGTGATCGATGAAAATGAAAAACGCTTGAAGCATGTAGAAATGTTGGCTTCGATTTTATTCCAGAAAAAGCAATACTTCAAGTATGTCGCTAACACGCAGAAGTCAAACGAAGTACAACATGTTGATCGATGTATGTATCTAGATCAGACTACGGATGTGAGCATGTATGTAGTGAAAAACTGAAAGAACAAAATGAACACTCATAAGTCACTTACCAAAATTTGGGCACACAACACGAGTAATTGGGAAAAATCTACTACGGCTCATATTTAGCAAAAACATAGAAAGAACACGAAATCGAGATGGGAGCAAATAGTGGGTCGATTCAGGATGAAAACATTATGGGGCGAAATGGGACAGTGGAAAAATTGGCAAATTGGTAATAAGTTCCAACTTGTGTAGCGTATCAAAGGCAGTGACTATTTTACAACAATTGGAAGAACATAATTCTTCAACTTGTATGGGACAATAAACTCACTCTTTGGGGGACTAGAGACGGTAAAATTCCTAGAATTGTACTGTGTGAATCGCTCAGCGATGTAAACACGTCCGACATCTTGAAACGTTCAGCATACGATACAGATAATGGAAATCCCCGCTACCAAATATAGACAGGAGTTCCGAGAAGGGGGATAACCCTGCTACACTAACAT